ATCCGGCAATTTTGACCGGCTGCTTGGGAAATCCGGGGTTCTTGTTGCCTTTGAGAGTCCCCCATGGGCATCGTGTGGGGTTGGGAGTGTGTAATCTCGTTTTTCCGTAGTTTTCCCTCATCTTCGGACGAATCTACCACAGTGTTTTGAAACGATGATTGATATGAGGGTCTTGGATATCTTAGAGCACACGAGCAACATTTCTGCTCGACCGAGTTCGGATTCGCACCAAGTAAGAAGCAGTCGATGAAGATACGATCAGGCTAGCTTATCTCAAATGTGACTGATGACATTATCCCCATCTTACATGTCCACTGCGAGCCGTGCTATCCGCAGCTACAAGTCCTCGGTCTAAATCATCCCGCCTAGATGTCGCAAAACAACTCACGTCGGTCACCCACCGTGAACAAACTTCTACTCAGTGATGCATATCCGTAATTCTGCTTGGCCATGGCCCATGATAAGACCTTGCCACGAGAGAAAAGACGTGCTTTCAGGAAGGACCACCGGCAAAAGTCCCAGCCACCATGCCCTTTCCACCTCTAGTAAGCTCGAGAATCGGACTTGTACCAGAATCGGTCCCACGTCCGCGAGTGGAGCCGCCCCCGGCCCTACCAGTCGTCACCGACCTAGAAGCCCCTCCAAGACGGGCTGCTTCGTTGACCTTGCAGTCCGAGAGATGCGTTCCGCCGAAGTGGCGTTTTTGCTCGCCGGCGGTGACGGTAAGCGGGCATGCAGTGTCAAACCCAGGTTTGTAGAAGTAGGTGCAAAGGCCGCCAGTTGCTAAGAAGCGAGAATTGCATATTGAGAGTTGTTAACCGAAAACCTGAACACTTTAAAACGTGCGTAGGATTATTAATCTCGCGGTCTTTGGCTAAGAAATACGAGTACCTTAGATAGATATATCACTAGGTTAACAATTTCTTATAGAGACTGCATATTCGAGATTCTGTGGCTCATTGTCTCCCCTTGATCTTCAACGCCGTATCTCAGAATTGAGAATGCGGCCCCACTAGCCCCGCGGCCGAGAGGAGCGGACACAACACCGAACTATCGGGCCGTCTCTTTCCAAGTTCAGGGTTTGGCGGCGCTGCCATGCCCCCTCATGTTGTCATTTCGTTCTCAGAAACTGGGGCTACTAGTGGTGAACTGTCAGAGCCAGCCCTCCAACCTCTGTGATTTGGGTATGGTCGACTCCCTCATTGCCTCAGCGTTTAGTTGGTCTAAAGTATTCTAGACAGGCGCTGCTACATATAGACTTGCAGGGATAGAGAGGGAGTTGCGATAATGTGAATCAAGTATCCAACGGAAAACCTTATCCTAAAGTTGCGGTGTTTTCCGTGTTAGTCAAGACTATTGTAATCGCGGACTTACACCGAACATAGAGCTCAAACGACCACACCGTAAATCACCGTATCACTAGATCATGCGGATTACGTGACAAGGTAAAAAGTTGATTTTGGCCAAGGCCATTATTACAAAGTATTCTATTTCTTATGGTCATAAATTCGTGTCGCGTCGAAGGCCGACGTAATTGTTGCTCTGCAATGAACCGCTTAGAAAGCCACACAACTCATGCAACAACGCTATGCTAGTAAAAGAAAATGCAGGCTCCTCCAACGTGTAAGCCGAGCAAACCATATCGATGATGTGACGCATCATCTGCTGTGACGGGCATTCCATAGATCCTCCGCGTTGCCCCTGAATAACCTGTCAACCAAGACATCATCTTTCCCGCACCAGTCGAGCACCGTCTCCATCCAGGGCCGGATATCCAGGCCCTCGAACCGGGTATGCGGCCAGTCCGTCGCAAAGATGACTCTGTCCTTGCCCCGCAGGTGAAGCACCTCTCGCGCAATCGGCTCCAGATCGCTATGATCTGCCTTAGAGCTCAGCCGGTACGGCGCCGATAACTTTACGTAGGTGTTCCCGGCTCGGAGCAGCTTGGCTAGGGACTTGAAGCCCTTCATGTCGTACGGGTTATGTGATGGCATGTCCTTGATATTGGGATGCCCGAGGTGATCGATGCAAACTCTCACGCCGAGGGTCGGGACGATGGGCTCGAGCAGCTCGATCATGGACATGGGCATGTACACCTGTATCACCCAATCCAGAGGCTTGCAGTCGTGGGCATATCGACGTAGTAACGAGTCGAGCTCTACAGCGTTGAGGGATTTGCCCACCGAGGAGAGGTTGATCCGGACGCCTCTTACACCGAGCCTGTGCCACTCTGCCAGGGTGCTCTGAGACAGGCTGCCTGGCTCGAAAGCCACCACCGCCCTGCCGCGGCGGGAGCCGAGGGCACGAAGGGCGTCGAGGAGGCAAGTGTTGTCGTTGCCGTAGATGGATGGCTGTACGAGGACGATATTGTCGATGCCGACGGAGGACTCGAAGGCGAGGGCGTGGTCAAGGCGGTGCGTTTTGGGGCAGTAGACTGCGTCCTTTGCCAAGGGGTAGGCGGCCGGGTCGACGACGTGCATATGTGAGTCCCACGCTCCGCGAGGGATCCGCTCCGGGAGAGTCAGCCTGCGCCGTGCGGGAGTGGTGCTGGCGGCGACGACTCTGGATATTAACTTGTCGTCTTTGTGCCGTGTAGTTGGTGCCATGATGGGCTGGAGGAGAGCCATGATGGACTTGATGTGATGGAGGAGAGTGGAACGGGCCTGGAGGATGGGCTTGGTTTGTAGCATGGTGAGGGAGACCCTATGTGTAAGAGATGAGAAGGCCCGGGTGGAGGCGAAGAGGTGAGAGAGGTTGCTGATATTGCGGGCGTTACTGCTGCTGCTGCTGCTGCTGCTGCTACTGAGGAGGAGTTGATGGGACTCTAAAGGACCGGGGGTGGTTGAGGGCTGAGAGTGGTATGGAAGGGATGAATCCTTCTCCTCGCGTGAACAAACTGGCGACAGGACCGACGACACGGGGTTTCTGTCATCCGCAACTGTTACCACGATGGGGGTCGGCAACGGCATAGGAGAGGGAGTAGCAGCAGCAACAGGTGTGCGATGACGGCGGCGGTGCGCCTGCACATATGGACGTCGGCCCATTGCGCTTGGTGAGATTCCGCCGAAGGCCCGGCACGTCGTTGTGTGGATCATTGAGTTGCAGCATCCTCAGGAAGATGGCCGGCCGTATAATAGAAAGAGGAGATGTGGTTCTCCAGTCCGCGCCCGCCTCCGTTCTCCAGCAGGAGGAGCATGCAGGTGTTAGCAAGTAGTAGGAACGATAGTGGAGATTGTTGACCCGTAGATGGAGAGAGTTTGAGGGAAGAGGAGACCGGAGTGGGAAAATCGAAAGGGAACAAGAAAAGATGGCAGGCCTCTGCTGTGTGGTGTTTTTGGTGGTTGAGTTTTTGGTGGTGCGTTGGGCTCGGAGGATGACCGATACCACAAGGTAGCGCAGATGCGGCTTTGCGTGATGTGGTGTAGTTGCGGACGGGACGGCGATGTGCGCGGTGTCTTTTCCTACTACGGACTTTCACGTAGGTGTCACCGTGTAACTCCAAACCACCTTTACGCATACATTATTTCACCTATTTTCAGCACACACATGCACCCGTGGAACCTGACCGACGGAAGGCCATGCAGCGGTGTCAAGTCACAAAGTGGAGGGATGATTGGCCTCCAAGCCCTCGGGTTATTGGACAGCGGCGCCTTAAACTTACCACGGACGTGGAGAGAGAATGCCTGCAGAGGCTACGGATACTTGCCGTGGCTAGGTGCCCTTAGTCGTACTAGGTAGTGCAAGAGAGAGCAAGCGAGCAAGCAAGCAAGCAGCGTGGCAGCGTCACTCTGGGCTCGCTGTTCGCCACGAGTCAGGGCGCGGACCACCGACGTACGGCTGCGAGGGCCGTCGGAAGTTGACCGAGAGTTGAGAGAGACTCTGACAGAGAGTGCCGGTAGCAGAGAGAGATCAGCGGTAGGCTGCTGGCAAGAGAGATGGGATGGACGAGTGGCCTGGAACCCGGCCGGAAGCCCCCCGGGAATACCGTCTCGACGCCAATGTACGGAGTAGGCTAAGTCATGTAGCTCTACTGCGAACTTGACGTTGGGGGGTACATTGGTCCCTTGCCTTAGCCCAAGCCCGGCACTTGTGCGGCGCAGCGGGAGGGAAGGGCTGTGATGAGATTGAACTCTTGGAGACTCTAGCAGACTCTTGGGGGAGACTCTAGTAGAGAGTCTGAGAGTTTGGGAACTGGATGAACGCAACTCCCGGCCGATTGTGGAGTGACATTACTAAGATTGTTGCCCCCCTCCATCATCTGTAGTCTCTCCTCCAGGCTCTTCTTTCACCCTTCGCCGGCCTCCCACTCCTGCGACCTTTTTCGTTCGGTCAACGTCCGATGTCCTCCTGCGAAGAGGTCTGAAGTCATACCGAGTACTGAACCCATACCGTTCACCCCCACACTCTTTGCTGCACGAGATCCCCTCTCGCGTCTTCTCTCCTTGCGCCGTGCGATCGCCCGCCGAACGAAATCGTGGGGTTCGAGACCAGTTGAACCAGGGCAACACACCAGGGGCCCATCCAAAACTCCGGAGAACGTCGAGAGAGGGTTACCCGTTGGGCCGTTCTCCCATCGAAAGGGAGGCCCAGGCCGCGCAGCCGTCTTTTACCCCGTGGGATAGGATCGAGTTCACCCCCTCACCCACACCCCGCGTTTTCTTGTCTTGGAGCAGACGACGACGGTTTTCCGTCACACGGGAACGAGATTCGAGGGCGCAAAGTGTCTACGAAGGAGCGAACCCGAGAAACCACATAAGTGAGGCGAGGGATCGGAGGGGGTAGTGGTGCGAGCTCGTCCCGTCTGAGATTGCGTGTCGGAAAATAGGGGGCAAAAATTACGACTGGAACGAAAGAGATTGAAAAATTCTTCTTTTTTTGCATTTCATAACTGCATACACTCTTTTCTTGGTTCGCGCCCGCAACCAAAACCTCTCGTTCCAACCCCGTCCCAAATCCCTTCGATATCGACGCAAAGGAAGGGCGTCGCAGGGGTTTTTAAGATGGTCCAATTCAACACCTATTATCTCCTTACCATCATCGTTATCTCGTGCGGGTCTATTCCCAAGGGTAAGTAACCAGTTCCCGTTAGATCTTGCGGTCAACATCCGTCCGACCTTGACAGGCGATCCGTCCCTTTTTTTTACTCCACCGTCCACACACACCAAAAATCAACACCAAAACCCACGGTGCGCTGACTAGCTCCCCACGTAGGCTACGATGAAGGCGGGTTCAGCGCGTCAACGGGCCTGGCGTCCTTCAAGGAGGATTTCGGCCTCGTCTCGAGCCTCTGGAAGGGCAATGAGTCCGGTTTGGCTGACCGCAAGGCCAACATTTCGTCGTTTGGTGTCCTCGGCGCCGCCTTCGGTTCCATTATCGCGCTCGCCGTAAATGACCGCCTCGGACGATTGAGGGCGTGGCAGCTCTTCATCGCTGTCTGGATGACGGGTTGTCTGATGCAGGTCTTCTCGTCCGGCATCCTGGGGTTTATGCTCTTCGCCCGGATATGGGGCGGGCTCGGCGCCGGAGGACTTACGGTTGTTGCGCCGCTGTACCTCTCCGAGATTGCGCCCGCGAGGTCGCGCGGTATGGTCGTCAGCATATACATGGTCGTGTTACTGTCGTTCCTCACCATTGGTAAGGCCACCCCCGGGAAGACATTCTGCGATCTCGTCGATTCAATTTACTGACCTACCGTGAATTAGGCTTCTTCATCAACTACGCCGCGAACGCGACCCTCGCTGCGACGAGGCTGCAGTACCGCCTCGTCATCGCCGTCCCCCTCATCCCCGTAGGCATAGCCTTCATCGCCTCCTTCTTCCTCGACGACACCCCGCGCTGGCTCGCCTCCCGAGACCGTGGCGACGAAGCGCTCGCCGTGCTCGCGAAACTCCGGCACGCCGACCCGAGCGACCAAGCTCTCGCCCATGAATACGACGAGATCCACGAACAGATCCGCACGCGGCAGCAGATCCTCGCCGACTCTTCGACATGGGCCATCATCAAGGACATTGCCACGATCCCTACCTACCGCACGCGCTTCCTCCTCGGTGCCGTCATGCAGACTGTCGCGCAGTGGTCTGGCGGGAACGGCATCACATACTACATCCCTGAGATCTTCCGGTACGCCGGTGTTGTTGGGGATAATACCTCCCTCATCACTAGTGGCGCGTACGGCGCTGTCAAACTTGTGTTTACAATGGTCTTTACCTGGGGTCTCGTTGACGTCTTCGGTCGTCGCCGGTGTTTCATTACGGGCTTGTTCCTGCAGTGCATCACGCACGTATACATGGCCATCTACATGGCCATCTGGATTGACGGTACGAACAAGTCGGCCTCCGATGCCGCGATCGCCTCCGTCTTTGTCTATGCCGTCGGCTGGTCCATCGGCTTGTGCACGGTACAATACCTTTACGGCACAGAAATCTACCCGACCCGCATCCGCAGCGTCTGCTATGCCAGTAACATGGCCCTGCACTGGTTTTTCCAGTTCGCTGTAGTGCGCGTGACGCCCAACATGTTTGTCAGCCTCGACGTATGGGGCGCGTACGTTTTCTGGGCGGTCGTCTGCGGCGTTGGCCTTGTGGTCCTCGGCCTGTGGGCGCCGGAGACGAAGGGCATCCCCATGGAGAGGATGGAAGAGCTGTTTAGCGGTCGGTGGTGGATGGGATGGAGGGCCAGTGTGGATTTGGACTCGAGCGAGACGAAGCCTTTTGGCAGAGGCGACTCATCGGGCAAGGAGTCAAAAGAAGCCCCATTTGCGCATGACCGGAAGACGGATGTCTGAGTTGAGGCCGGGATGCTTTCTTAGTTCATATTTATGAGTCTGTATGTTTCTTTTAATGATCACCAGATACCAATTGTACAAATTCATTTTCACTGTTCGGAATGGTTGTCACTTTGTTGGGTCCTCCTCGTTGATTGGTGCTGATTCTGTGCCTGCCGGGGCTTCCCGGCCGAATGTCCGGAGCCGAAATCGGTAAATGTGGGTCCTCTCGGCCGATAGGTAAACCCGCCAAGACGGGAAGGTGAGAAGACGATTGTCACCTGAAGGATCGGGACCCCTCACAGGGCAACGTCTTCACGAACGCGTGCTCTTCGTCATCATTGCCATCAGCAAATTTCGTTTCACTTCTTCTTCCCAACTATAAATCACTCAATGCGTCTTCCTGGAGGTGTGTGTGCCTGACTGTGTCCGTCACAACGAAAGCAAACATGGAGAAGAGACAGCTCGCCGAGGCCCAGCCCCGGCCGGCACCCCCGCCCCCATCTCGGAAGCCGGGACTACGTCAACGGCTCATGTTCGCCGGTGTTCTCTTGGCTGTCGGTTTGTTGAACATTCACCTCACAAGAAAACACCGTCTAGACCAGGACCACAGAGGGGAGCTTGTGCCAAACCCGATCCCAGTACAAGAATCCCCGTTTGGTCGGTTCCCTCTACCCAAAGATCCTTTCAAGCTCATCCCTTGTACAAATGTTACCGTCCCGCCGGAACTCGATGACGCTCATCCCGAGGAGACGTGGTTGAAAACCTTTGATCCGGACCCGTCCAATTGGAGCTGGGGAAACAAGACCGTCTCCGTTGATGGCAATGATAGTGACCCCTTCTCCGGCCGAGGCATCTACCTCTGCGGATATCTGGAGGTGCCACTAGACTACACCAATAAGTCAGACGACCGGATCGTTCGACTCGCAATCATCAAATACCAGGTCTCGGGCCTAGCCCGCGTAGGTGAGCCCGACAACGGCACCAGAAACCCACCCCCCGGCGGCAGAAGCGAGCGCACCCTCGTCATCGAACCCGGCGGCCCAGGTGGCAGCGGAACCTCGTACGGCTGGAGAGTCGCGGAGCAGTACACCGAGCGCTTCAGCGATGGCAAATTCGATGTGCTGGGCTGGGACCCGCGAGGCGTCAACATCACCCGCCCCTCCATCTCCTGCTTCCCCTACGACGCCGACAGAGACCGCTGGTCCATTCTGACGGGCCAGTACATCGAAGTGTCCGCCGACCCGAAGCGTCAGCTGCAGATTGCCGACGCGATGAACGACGCCACCTTCAAGGCCTGCTGGGAAGTCCACGGCGACCTCGGCCGCTTCATGGGCACATCCATCGTCGCGCGCGACTTGGAGGAGATCCGCAAGGCACTGGACGAGGGTGAGTTGACGGGATACCTCGTCAGCTACGGCACGGGGATCGGACAGACATACGCCAACATGTTCCCGGACAGTGTCGGTCGGGTGATCCTCGACGGGACGGAATACGTCCGCGATCACCGCGAACTAGGCGGCTTCGGGTGGACCGCGCTCGACAACGGCACCCATGCCTGGTACGACGGGTTTCTCGGCGAATGCATCAACGCCGGACCGGATCACTGCGCGCTGGCAAAGCTCAAGAGCAGCAGCGGAGAGCCCCTCGTGCTGAAGGATCTGGACAAGCGCATGATGTCCCTCCTCACGTCACTCATTGACCGCCCTGCCATCGGGTACACCGAAGAAAGCGGCCCGTCTCTCGTCACGTACTCGGTCCTCGTCGCCGCAATCTACTCGGCTCTCTACAACGCCCAGAGCTGGCCGGCCCTCGCACAGATGCTATACGAGCTCGATCAGGGCAACTCGACCCTGGCCGCTGCGTACCTGGAAGAGCGGGCCTGGCAATACGACCCGACGCTCCCCGCGACACCCAATAAGCGGCCCGCCTCGGATGAACTCGCCTTCATCGTCATCTGCGCAGATGCCTACGACGCGCCGTTGCCACCCGACGGTCTCGTCTGGTGGGAATCCCTTTGGGCCAACATGTCGTCTCAGTCCTGGGTTGCGGGCAACTCGCGCTTCTTCGATGTCTTTCCTTGCCAGCAGGTCCACAAGTACTGGCCTGAGCCGGTGGACGTCTACCGCGGGGACCTAAATCACACGCTCAAGAACCCGATCCTGTTAATTGCGGAGACGTATGACCCGGCCACGCCGCTGCGTAACGGGCGTAGGTTATTGAACGAGATGGGGCGGAACGCGAGGTTGATTGCGCATCATGGGTATGGGCACTCGTCAAGGGATACGTCTGATTGCACGGAAGGGATTGCGAAGCGGTATATTCTCGAGGGGACGTTGCCGGATGAAGCGGAGACGGCGTGCTATGCCAACGAGAAGCCGTATCTGTATGGCGCCAAGGATAAGAGTGTGAAGACTACGGCTGATGAGGGCTGGGACCCGGTCGCTGCGTGGCGTGAGCATCAGCGGGAGATAGCTCACATGCGTTTCTAAAAGTTTGGGGAGTGATGAGATCTGGGCTAGTGAGATGTACTAGAGAGCAAGCAGTGTACGTTAGTGGATAAGTACTAGAATAGGAGGGACTTGAGCCGATTTATATCACAATCCCCCTTCCCAATGCCTGTCGGCTGTCCTGTATAATGTCTGCAATCGACCTTGTAAACTCAGAAATTTCCGCCTAGAGTTTTACACAGCCTCTGAAAATAGTGCTGCTCGCAAGGCATCAATCTTCATCATTGTTTCTCACGAAAGCTGCTGGGACGCCCGAGAATGCACTTGTAACGGGCGCCTAAAGGGGAAATTCTAACACCAATCCTCTTGTGGTTATTCTCAGGGGTGGAACCACCCAAGCATCCTTCGAACAACACGACAGAAGGAGGTAAAAGACTTCCACCTACTTTCCATAACACTAGTATGCTCTCTGTCTTCTTCCCGAGCACCAAAGTGCCATTTATTAGTGACGTCCGTGAGGAAAGTCATCATTCAGTGTATGACTGCGGTGAAGAGAATCACGAAACCGCGGCTGCTGGTCTTATCCATGATCGTGTCAAGTGTCCGAGAGAATCTATTCTTGTCAGATAGAGAACGACTTCAGAGTGTATTTATATATTTTCTTAGTTCCTCATCTAGAGCCCTTTTGGCTCAAAAGGTGGCACTGAGTTTTCATCCAGCGGATAAGCTAGTCAATGTAGCAATAACTTGGAGAATGGGTCTTGAGCATTGAATATATCGAACCTTGATGGCATTATGGGAAACTTTGAAACAAGTAAGTTCATGCACTCCTGCAAAAAGTCTAGGTGGCGAGTTTTTCACTCAAGCACGATGGCAATTGTAGGCCCAAATGGCCGTGACGCTGGTGTGCCCTTCCTTCTCAAGGCGTAAACACCTCGATTGTCACTAGGCAGCGATATTTAAATGAAAGCAAAAGTGTTTTCGACAGAAACCTGATGCGGACACAGTTCTCGATCAACGAGACAGTTTGAGTCATGTGAAGAACGTTTATGAACCATGATAAAGCGGAAATGTCCATGTCTTTTATGCACGAAGAGTGATAGTCTATGGTAGTTTCAACATCGCCGTATCTACTTGCAGTTGCAGTAGACACTTGAACAGATTATTAGCAAGCCGTAGAGACTCTCTCATGGCAGCAACTTACAAATCTTGTGCAGTGGCGCCGCCTCCGCCGGAGCAACCATCGTAAGCGCCACCCCCCGACTGACACTGTTTTCAAGAATCAGTATCCGAGAGCCAACGGAAAAATTTCAAAGGAAGTTTACCTTGGCCGGGCAGCCAGCGATGCAGTCTTCCTGCGTGCTGTAGACGTGTCCAGTCCAGGCGTGTGCGGCCAGAGGCGCTGTGAGGGCGATGACGAGTGTGAAGAGCTTCATTTTGTGATTTAAGGTACGTCAAGATGGGTATTGTAGTACAGACGTGGGTTGCGAGAGATCCAAGAGAGAAATGTCGAAGCCTTAGTTGGTGGAAGATGCGGTCTACTTATACAAGTTGGATTTCGGAGCATGCTACATGCAGAATTAAAAGCACTAGCAACTGTCGACGCTTGTAAAATGCCAGATGTCGGAGCCCAAGATTGTGAGTTCCCCTTCACTAGATCGTTCTACCTTAGATACTTGGGGTTGTCCCTGAAAGCTTATTAAATTGAGCTGGCGAATCAAAGTCTAATTTGTTGGCTTACGGGGCCAGTTGCTGGGAACTTACGCTGGTTGTAAGATATAACCTGGCGGTATGTTGTGGTGATATGATGCGACAGGTGCCTCTTTGGGCCGTAATGCTCGAGCTCTAGTTTTATACAGCTACTCAAAGACTTTACTCATATTTAACACGCCTTCAAATACGTGTATAGCAAGTGGCTGGGTTATCTGCTCATCTTTCAGTCTGGGCTAATCTGCTGTAAAATGAAGGCAACAACGTTGCCCGGTTGGGTAATCTGTACAAGTCATGCAACCACCGGCACAACGTATACTCGTAACAATCAAAGGCTTTAGTATCCACGCGCATTACTCAAACATCTACAACCCGAGAGCGAAAGAAGACCCCGGTTTTGTTGTATGGAGAAAGCCCTGGCAATCGAGACGAGGTCGTCCACCGCACCGCCGACCTATCCGACGCAGCTCGAGCATGACTCGATGAGAGAGACAACATAGGATTGGCCAATGAATGAGCTACGAATACGACAAATGCGTATTGGGCTGCTGTTGCAGACATCAACATGGTTCGCAAACTTGGCTCAGAGCAATAGAGCGCCCTGAACAGGTTAAGTTCCTTCCGACATCGCTGTTGTATTTGACCAACAGAGCATGTCGTGTATGAAGTCATGAGTGAGACTGTGTCGTCAGATTTTCTCCATTTCCAGGGCGCAAATACCGCTCAGACCAGAGTTCTCCAGTGGGTACAATCTTTGCCTGCCTTGGCGACGGAGTCTCCGGTCTACCACATCAGCATCCAAACCAATAGCTGATATTCTTTGTGTAGTCCGGAAATCCGGGACTCCTCCGAGTCATGGTA